GAGTTAGAGATTGCTGTCCTGCGATCGAAACCCTCTGCCTTGTAATGACCCACCTTTGAACCCAACTGCATTGGAGTTCCGGCCGCGACGAGATGCAGCTGTGGCAGCACGTCAGCGAATACAGGACATTGCCGAGCAAGACACTTGAATGTGTTTACTAAAGAAACTTTATTTTTATACTTATTTCTTGTTGTGTTATGGAGTCAGTTCCACTTGCATATGCCTTGTTTCCAAGTCATATGGGGGAGAGTGTTGGAAACTGTACGTTACATTAATTAATCTTAAACATAAGTGATTTCCTTTATCTATTACATAACCAAACCGCATGTATGCAGCACGTGCCTTATCGCCCCATATATAGGTGCTGTTCCACGTGCTTACAAGGAGACGTGGTGTGTGTTTTTTTGTGAGAGTTGTGAGAGGGAGTTAACTGGAGTGTAATAGCAAAATCGATCCAAGAAAATAAATCGTGAGTACGCTAGCTTTTGCACGTTTTCGACACTCTGGCCAAGCCCCCTCGACCAAGTCTGCCGTCCCAGATGTCTACCGTCGTCGGATCTTAAGCTCGTTCGTAGCAGAGCTAGTAGAACTGGACTCTTACAACTACTGGTACTGGTTCCGAGGAATTTCTCTGGTTCTCCTTGTCATTTAATGTTTCCTCTTCCAGAGATGAGAGATATCAATTGGCCACACAATTTCGCCAGATTTTGGCTCAAGTGTCGGAAATATTGCGAGGATATTGTTAGATCCGTACCTTTGCCCAGAGCTAAAATGTGTACTGCACACAAAATTGTTTTCCATCTACTTGTAGCATTTTCTCCTTAAATTTATGGCAGAAACCCACTTCCTTTTTATCCTCTCATCCTTTGGAAACTGGTGAAACTAAAGGGTCTTATGGACCCAACTTTTGTGGGGACAACCACCAACAAAATATTTAAAAGGCATATTTTACAAGCCTTACGTAACACCTTTCTGGCATTGCAAAACTGCTTGTTTACATTAAGTGGTCTTTTTTCCCAGAATGCTACGCGCGGCGCCATCTATTTCCGTATCGAGGATTGCTCGTTGAGGCGAAAGAAAAGCTACCAATCAGATTTGAAATGTGGATCGCTCATTGAAGCTAACCATTAAAAAAATGCGGATCGTGCGTTGAAGTTAGCCATTCACTCGCAAACTCAAATGACTGTTTGGGCTTTGAGACAAAATCGTTTATCAGTATTTCCTTTAAGTTCTGACGCCAGCACTTTCACATTGAAACTTCTAGTCTAAAAGACGATGTTAGATCTTAGACTGTTAAAGTTTTTATAAAAAGAATTGCTAACCTCTTTTTTTCTAATTAGTCTATCAATTTGCAAATAGT